AGGGTTCAGCCTCCTGATGAGTCGGTGAAACTCCGACGAAACAGTTTGTCACAGCCCCTCGTTTGTTGTCCTCTTCTCCCTCTCTGCCTACGGTTTACCGGGCAGTTCTATTTGACGATATATATATATACACATATATCATTGCTAGCAGAGTCTTAACTTTTTCTCCCTTTCTGTCTACTAGGGTACTCCGGTCAGTTCTTTTTCTGACAATATATGGGCAGTGTTTGGTTCCCACCTCAGGGTATCAGTTGTTACGGCAGTACCCAAACGCAACTGGGGTTAGAGTGGATTATCACTTACAGTATCATTGGTTACGGAGCTCTGCAGACTGAAGAGGGTTTAGAGTCATGATGAGTTGGTGAAACTCTCCATCTCGTCCTTTTCTCAGTGAACCTTCGACGAAACAGTCTGTAACAGCTCCCCGTCTTTTGTCCTTTTGTCCTTTTGTCTCTTTCTGCCCACTGTTCACCGAGCAGCAGCATCATTGATTACGGGACGCTGCGGAGTGTAGAGGGTTCAGCCTGCTGACGAAACACGCTGTGACAGCCCCTCGTTTGTTGTCCTCCTTGTAACTACGGTTCCCGGCCAGCTCTCTCTCTCTCTCTCTCTCTCTCTCTCTCTCTCTCTCTCTCTCTCTCTCTCTCTCTCTCTTTCTCTCTCGAGCCAGCAATGTGTCTGGAGTGTATTTTCTGGTTGTCACAAAACTTGCTTTGTTTCATGGGTGTTTTGTTGGCTTACGATGGTGTGTGAACCTGCAGTCTGTAGGGTTTTCCGTCTCGTGTTGGCGAGTCATAGTCTGCTTTGATTTTCATCTCAGGCACCTTGAAAGTCGTGGTTGGTGCCCACCTCCTCAGAGGGGTATCAGTTGTCAGGCAGGTGTTGATGCTTAACCGCTACTGGGGTGAAATTGGATTAACACTTACAGTACCATTGGTGAGGGGGCTCTGCAGACTGTAGAGGGTTCAGCCTCCTGACGAGTTGGTGAAACTTTGACAAAACAGTCGGTCGCACCCACGTCTAGACCGCATGTGTTCCCCACACCAACTTAGGCTCCCGATTTTTTTGGCTGGTACTAAGCGCGCCTACTCTAGATATCACAGGTAGTGTCTAATGGCCCTCCCTTGCCAACGTCTAACCAGTGATACCCTCCTGAGGAAACCAGCTATACCAACCCAGAGCAGCTGCGTTCTGCAATCCTTGGGCATTGTCAATCCAATGCGACTTCGTCTTCCAATCATGTGAGCCAACAACATTCACTTCGTTGTGCACATGCCTCCTTACGCCATCTGCAACAACACTTTGCCATTGTTCCTGTGGACAAATCATCCCACAATTTGGCAATTTGTTGCAAGAATTGGTATTTGTTTCACCTCTCTACCCATTTGGACAGTCCCACTTATACTCGTCCTCATGAATCCGTCGCTGATGTGCTCAACCACCATGCACTATGGAATCACCATTGGGGTTATACCCACACTGATACCCTGCCTTACCTATACYATGTGTTGAAAGCCCACAAGTCTCCTCCAGCTCTTCGCAGCATTCTTGGAGTCCCAACACAAAATACTTGTCCTGTCYCCCCACGCACTCGCTCTCGTCCTTCTATTCGCACCATTCATGAACGGCCTCCTCACAAACCCTTGGCTAGCACAACGGCTACTTCGTCCTGTCTCAGCACTGCTTTGCAAGGCGTGATCTCTACTCTTCGTGAGAAMGACACTGAGCTCTATCAACAGGAAGGTGTTCGACGGTGCTGGATCGTCCAGAGTGCCGATGAGGTGGCGATTGACCTGAAAAACAATGTGTCCTCTCTACGTGGCCTCTCTCCTCGCACGGTTGATTTCACCACAATGTACACCAACCTTCCTCATGACCGCATTTTGAATAGTGTGGCAAAGGCTGTTGATGAAG